TCAGCCAGTTCCCTCAGGACTCTGGGATGCATCTCATCAGGTCCCATAGACTTCTGTATGTTCAGGTTCCTCAGGTGGTCTTGAACCTGATCTTGTCTTCCAGTGGGAGGGACTTTGTTCCCCCAGTCCCTGCCTTGAGGTCCATCCACTCGACAGGTGTGGGAAGAGAGACTGCCAGTGAAGACTGAGGAAAAACGCTGTTGAGTACCTCAGCCTTCTTGTCCAGTGTTACCAGTTTGCCAGTCATTTTCATCACGGGGGGTACGCTTTCCTTTACCTTCCTTTTCTGGCTGTCATGCCTCTAGAAGCCCTTCTTATTACTCTTTGCATCCCTTGCCCAGTTCAGCTCCAGCTGCGCCTTGGCCTTCCTGACCCCATCCCTTCACAACTAGGCAGCATCCCATACTCCTCCCAGGATACCTGTCTCTGCTTCCACTGCCTGTGCGTTTCCTTCTTGCCCTTTAGTTTGATCAGCAGGTGTGTTCTCCCTTTCACCTGCAGTCTGATATTCCTTTGACAGGCTTCCTCTAGCCTCAGGTTCCTCTGTAATTTTCATGTCTGCTACTGTCCTCCAGTGAATTCTATCATTGCATATCCTGACATAAAATACCTCTCCCTTCTCCTGACAGCCAAGACGGCAGCAATTTTCTTTCTTCATCAGATGATTGTTATGCAACTGTGCCCTCTATGTGGTAGTTTTCCAAGCATCTGATGATTCTTTGGAGCCAGTGATTCGCTGGACCCATAACGATACCAGCAAGACTGAGTTCTAAGGGCAGGAAATAAAAAGAAGCAAAAGCAGGAGATCAAAAACCAGTAAAATGCAATTTATCAGAGGAAACAAGAGCAAATGACAAGCAATTCCAGTAAATCATATATTGTATTTGTTCATGTAATGGTCATGTTCTTCGTCACCTCCCTCTGGACTTTTGCCAAAAACTTGGCAACAGCAGTATATGTGCCTATTATAAAATTTAGAAGTAAGTAAGTAAGTTACCTGTTTCATCCTTTTATTTACAGGTTTGTCTCTGTTGCATATCAAATATAGAAATGCTCTTTCAACACAGGAAGAACAGACAGAGACTCAAAATATAAAGTAAGTTTCCTTGTAACAGCAATTTCCTCATTTGCTACTGCTCCTGGGAAGCAGAAAGTAAACATTTCTCACCGTCCCTATGTTAAATGTCGTCAGCATGATCAGCAATAACTAGGCCCGTATTTGGA